GTTTTCAGAAAAATATATGTTGCTAATCTTAACATTTTGATCTTGCCTGTAAATTGGCATGTCTCTTGTAACATGTTTGTTATTTGAGAATAAATTATTATTATTATTATTATTATTATTACTGATTTAAATACAGTAAATAATTTCATGCACTCAATAATGCAGACAGATATGAGCAAACAAGGCGTACAAGAAAAACGAATCAAGGTGAATAAGCTGTGTAAAATAACTATCGTGATGACCAAACCGATCTATATTGGCTGAAAGATATACTCGTTCGGGTTCCTCAATTTCACGCGTGTCGAAAGTAACAACTCATGGTCCAAGGGCGGAGTCATACTTCTGTCTGTAGAGGGTTGTGACAGCAGTGGATTTATACCTTCGCTAAACCACTGTAGACAGCGATGTTGCCTTCTCACAAAGAAGAGAGGTGTAGAAAACATTTCACTCAAAACATGTCACGACTCACCGTACATCATCAGTTTCCATCTGCGACAGTAAGTCCACTCGAATAGCAGGGCTATCACTTCAAAATCATCTTTTAAAGTGGTTTGCAGTAACTGGCATCAAGCAGTTGTCCCATGCGATACCTGGTCTCTAAGAACAACACTGGTCCAGCTCCAGGGTGATCAAGAAACCCCCTTCCTCGGTTCGGACACCTATAAAGTGATATCCGCCATCATAACCGTAACGGCACACGAAATCAAACCCGTCGCATTCGAATCCCACTTACACCTACTAATAACTACCTCACCTCCAAGACCCAGACTTTTCAAATTACTTTCTTGCTTAGCGGCTTTGACAAGAAAAATTTGACTGCACGAAACGTTATTTATGGCCCTCAGAAAGCAGGATCTAAAAAACATGTTGGAGCTTTCAATCGTCAAACCTTGCGCTATATAGGACAACAGGCTTCCTTGACTGGGACTCCGGAATCCTATGCCATCGATGTGACGTGGTTGAATTTTATGAAGAGAACGCGATTGGTGTCATTGAAAAATTTATTAATAAGACAAATATACCAGTGATTGTTTTACTGTAGCTCTGTGTTTATCTGTACCAAAAATACTCATCTTTCTCTTATTGTGACCTTGTGCTTGTTCACTTTCACTCACTAGTCTCCTCCGTGAATTTTGGCACGATTTCGGCATCATTTCGATCTTACGAGATCTTAATTCCAATCACAACTGCCCTTCTGATATCCGAGTTTAGAGGGACTTAACTTCGCCATTGTCATTTTATTGTCTCGACTCGCAATAGATGTATGCTCTGCTTTCAAAACGCGCATACAGGATCTGACCGCTCTGTGCCAATATAAGGAACAATCTCAATTTACGGTAAGTGTGTCGGGAAGCTGCATTGCTGCTTCCTGTGTCCTTGGGTCCTAAAGCACAAGCAACTCTCTTAGACCGCATTGCAGTAGACAGTTACTTGTGTGCTGTTCAACCAAACGGAACAGTAAGAATTCGGAAATATGGGTAAACTCACCGTTCCCAGTTGATTGTCTTTGCCTAGGCTACCACTATCTGCAACTCAGATTGGGCAAAAGATAAGCTTTACAGAAAGCCTTCTGACCTCCTCGATACGTTAGGCGCTCTGATGCAGTGAAAGATGAGGCTGACTTCAATGTCCAGTTAAGTAGATTAAGCGGATTTTGTAGTGTCACAGGTGATCGATTGGATAATGGCCACCGTCTGTTGCGGAATGCTCAGACAGCCACTTGTTTTAGCAATTACTATTTTTAAGCACAGACAAAAAAATCCTTTGACCTGGTGACTTATAAAATAACCCTCACTTGACCTTACTGGTATCAGCCACCGGTGAAGAGGTGTGATAAAAGACAGTCACTCATTCTGAAGCACATCTTTATATTCGGATCATGCTCAGGTGTGAGCACGTATTTATCTGAGTCTTCCTTGACGTGGAAAAGAAACTTCAGGGAAACCCCTTAACGGTAGCATAGCCAAGGATATATATCAGGAGTACGGAGTAAGACGGTTTGACAGCCACACAACTGGTCCTCACCCGGAACCACCTTAGAATAATATCCATAAATCTATGAAAACATCAGTGATATTTATTAGCATGCTAAACATTAGAGTTGGGGCGAAGAATTGGTCCTTAGTAGCACCCGCAGATCGGCTGATATTTGGCTATATGTTTGGCTATGCTACCGTTAAGGGGTTTCCCTGAAGTGTTTTTTCCGTCATAGGTGGCTCTGCAGAAGGCTTCTCAAATGTCTCGAGAGAATGAAAAAGTTGGAACCGGTGAAGTATAAGAGTATTAGTTGTTGTACAATAATAATTGCCGTCGATGAATCTGTGGATGCTGAAGTCGCAGAAGCATGAACACAATTATATATCATTTAGGTGTGGGTCTCACACAATATCTCAGATCTTTTATAGAAAGGAATAAGACGGGATAGGTCGTATGAAGTAAGTGTACTTACTGGCGATCTCGTGGTATGGAAGAATTACCGAAACACTGGGCGGATGACAGTATAGAGCAATCAAAGCAAGATAGGGGCCTGAGAAAGCGTAAACCATAGTATTTTGTCACTTTATGTACATAGAGAGAGACAGAGAGTAAATACGTCACTGAATCTCAATCCTAAATCACCTCCGATATAAAGCAATCTACATTTCCTTTTGGTTTTCCGTAGGAATACAATGAAGCCATACCTCAGCTATCCAGAAACTCTATGCTATTATGTGAGCGCAGATTTCGAAAAAGATCTAGCGAGCTAATGCTCTCCAGCGAACTTCAAGTCAATCTCCCCGAATCGATAACTTGATCTTTTTCTATTATTATTTCTGCTTCCTCTCCCTTGCTTACAGTTTGGCTTTCTCGCATATTTATAAAAATCGCTTAATATACACGATTTTACATTTATTCTTATATGCATTAGAATGTTCTCCTTATTATTCATCATATTGAAACTGACTGACCTGCGGCCTGATAACGCGATAGCTGCTGGTATCCAGAATCCCTATTGTCCTGAAACAAACGCATTCATTCAAAACACGAGACATACAAGCTCACAAACAAGTTCCAACTGACTAGAATTGAACATTCGAGTAGCTAGACACCCAATCATTGAACATTATCAAACACTTGAAACCCTACCGGAAAAACAAGAAACGACAGCAATTCCCAGCCGAATGGAAACAAGCTACTCTCTCTCCAATCTTCAAAGGAGGAGATAGAAATGACCCAGCCTGTTACAGACCAGTAGCACTACTATCAATATTATCAAAGGTCATGGAAGGGCTAGTGAACGAACAAATCAAGGAGTACATGGATAAGAATAAAATACTACATGAAGTTCAACACGGGTTTCGGAGAGGCAGGTCGTGTGGATCTAATCTCCTCATCGCATGGGACAGTTGGACATCCTGTTTAGACCGTAAAATACCGGTACACGTAATATTCCTCGACTTTTCGAAGGCCTTTGAAACAGTGCCCACGCAAGCCTAATCGAAAAGGTTGTGGAAATGAGCTTCACTGACCCAATCCTATCTTGGCTCAGAAACTACCTTGAGAATAGTAAGTTTCGCACCAAGGTAAACAGAGTGCACGCGAGTTGGCTAGTATCCACATCGGAGGTTTCACAGGGGACTATCCTAGGCCCACCTCTCTTCCTAATATTTATTAACGACCTGTTGGGCTCAGTCAGCTCACCGGCATTGATCTACGCAGACGATGCGAAGATCTGGAGGTCCATTAGAAGCGAAGAGGATTCGACTGAGCTTCAAAAGGACCTTACATCCATTGAGAAATGGGCAGTGAAAAACGGTTTAATACTCAACCAACCGAAGTGCCACGTCATGCATTTCCTGCCTCATATGACGCAGACGACCTATACCCTCAATGGAAGTCCGCTCCCTAATGTTTCCTCAGAGCGCGATCTTGGTTTAATAACCACAGAAAGCCTCCACACCAGTCCAAACTTTGTGGGGGATGCAGCCAAGGCAAATGCGACTCTTCACTTTATGCGAAGACAGCTTGGTGCTATAACCCCGAAATTATTTTTAACCCTGTTTAAGACGTACGCGCGCCCACACTTGGAAGTTCACAACGTCATCGCACCCCCTCTGCTTGAAAGAGACATTAATCTCTTGGATCGAGTGCAGAGACGAGCAACCAAATGGGTGATAGGTTTGAAAAATAAACCCTACGACGATAGACTCCAGCTCTTGGGATAATTTCCACTGAGCCATAGGAAAATCACAGGCGATCTAAATATGGCGTACACCATGTTAAACACGCCAAACCATCCCAATGTGTGCATCCTACCGATGCATCACCACCACTCGCCTCGAGGCAATCCTCGAAAAATTGCACATCAAAGAGCGTATACTCAGATTCGTGCACACTTTTTCTCACTGCGAGTCGTCGCAACTTGGAATGCTCTCCCAACCGAGGTGACCACAGCCCCCTCAGTAGACTGCCTGAAGAAGAGACCTGATAATCACGTACTCAAATACGTACTATCATCTCCCTCTTGGACAAGCTGTTCACGATGCGCATATTGAGACCGGCTAGTTGTTATCATTGCCATCTCCTCAGATCACTCAAGTAATCTTTTTCGCCTGTTATCTCTGTTTCCTCTTCATTGCTTACACTTCGGTCCTCTCACAATCTTCATAGCCAATTAACAAACTAAATTCATCTATATATTACTCAGTTCTGAAATTTTATTTTATTACCCTTATTACTCTCCACACTGTAACTAATTGATCTCCGGTTTGGTAATGTGACGGCTGCTAGTATCCAGAAACCCTACTGCCCTGAAACAATCGTTTCATTCAAATGCCGAGACATCCAAACTCACAATCAACTGCCAACTGACTAGAATTAGACAGTCGAGGGGCTAGACCTCAATCCATTGGAAAATACCGAACACCTGGAACCGTACCTAAAGAACAAGAATCGAGGGCGAAGAAATCAAACCGGTTTACACTAGCTCGTGAAAAAGATATTGGATATTGGACTGCCTCCTGCTATGTAGTGATAAGGATATTGTGTATTGGATGTTAATGTAAAGTTCGGATACCTATGTCAAGCTACATGTGGGATAGCACAACTTATATGCTGTAGTTTTTACTATAATTCTGTGTTCACTCACAAGAGGTACTGAGTTTTTGAAGTATATTTTCTTGTTTTAATCTGCAAAGGTTCGTTGTCTTGTCGCGGAGTTTCGGTTTTGCCCTCTAGGATGGTAGGTTGTGTTTACATTTTTTCGTCCTGTTTGTATGTTTGTGGGTCTTGATTGGTATATATAATCTTTTTTATTTGTAATTTCAGATGCCAGTTACCCTATTTAATGCGGTTCTCAGAAATACACTTACCCAATTCATTAAGACATCAACAATCAGAGACATCAATCCAGCTGTTGTTTCATCTATTCAATTGAAACGTCACTTCCATGTATCTACTGTCCGAAACGATATTGATCAGGCAGCCAAATACATTGGTGCTGGCGCAGCTACTGTTGGATGCGCTGGATCAGGTGCTGGCATCGGGGCTGTATTTGGAAACTTGGCATTGGCATACGCAAGAAATCCTGGCCTAAAGCAGCAACTATTCACTTACGCTATTCTCGGTTTCGCTCTGAGTGAAGCAATGGGTCTGTTTTGCCTGGTTATGGCGTTTCTCATATTATTTGCTTTCTGAAGACATTTATATCTTGTATCTAGGCTTGTTTTCGATCACAATCAAATTGTTGGTCCATATATGGACGTGAGTCAATTGTGCAGATGATAGACACTTATAATACTAGCGAAATAAATTGTTATAGACTTGATCTTTTTCTGTATATGCGTTATCGTAAATGGTTTTGCAAAGCTATTGGTGCAGACAAATGTCCTAAGATGTTCATTTACATGACGATAGTATAGAACATAAGTAATCCAAAGATATTTATGGTTGGGATAAATAAATCTTTGTCAGCTCCTGTGCGTCGAAATTTACTGTACTCTATTGAAGAATGGGTCTAACTTTCTAAAGTTGATGACTTTCTCCATGAATATTGTTGATCCGCAGATGATCAGTTCTCGAATTTCATGTTCTCTTCTAGGTATATAGGGTGGACGTATCTTATGTTTCGACTACCATAATGATATATCCGGACTAACTACCCGTTCTAATAGTAATATTTGCGTCTAATTTTTCATATTCGCAGGCTTCGGGGTTTCAACACGCGCATTTAGTTTGAAGTCTCTGTTCTTCTATTGATTGGAAATAATTTTTTCGAGATTAATGGGTTCTTCACCCATGAACAGCTAACTGGTAATGATTCCTCGGGTATTTACGAATGATTAGTAGTGTTCCGTGTGCTGTTAGATGTCTAAAACATTAGGGCTTGTCTGTGTTTGTATAATGACTAGTTGGAACCCAGGATTTAATATTACTTAGCAGGTATAGCTGTTTCCGATGTTAGAATGTAATCATGTCTACAGTCCGTCTCATCTGAAGCTACCAATGAAAGTCGCTTAGGCTATTTATTAACTGAACTTAATGGGAACTAGCGCTCATGTGTGATAGTGTGGCAGTGATTCACTTTCCAGGAGCCTTTATGAACGATTCAAGATTAAGTAATTCGGTGTACTTTCTTTAGTCTAGTATAGTTGTTACTTGTCTCTTTGTTGCAGTTGTTAGATATCTTCGTTTTGTCACTGTTTTTTCAGTTAAATAGCAGTACTACTATCCTTGTAGAATCTGCCCTAAGAGCAATGAATGTTACTATTAGGAATGAAATTGATCTTTCTTCGGTTACCTACTGAAGCTTTGTTGCCCTCCTTATATCGTAAAGGACGGAATATCCACTTATATACAGACTATTTCCTGAAGGAAATGCAACAATTCCTTGCTGACGTTATGTTATACTGAAAATCTATCCATCTTCAGAATGCGATGGTAGCCTGTTGTGCTCGTCACATTTTTTAGGAAAATACAGACTTATCGTAATTATTTAAACGTAAAAATGAAGGATTTCTGATACTGTCGAGTTAGAGTCTTCATGTATGTATTTTATGTTAATGTATTCAGTTTTAACATTCTATTCGGGATGCGCTTATTATAGTGGTGTATATTAATTGTTATTTTGTTTGACCGTAGTGAATTAGCTGTAAGATGACTCTCAGGTAACGCTGCTTTCTTGTGGATTAAAATGGTACGTAGATAAACCTCCAGAATAGCACACTTTATGAATGAATATCTGACATTAAATTTAATTCAGTACACAAAGTGGTTATATTTATAACAATAGAAAAATGAACGTCATACATGTTTATTAGATTTTCTATAGAGTTAGTCAAAAGTAACAACTATTTTTAATTACGGTGGATGCATCAACGATTTTGTTATCCGGTTCGAACTTCGCCTCACCTAGTTCATTTAAGGTATCGGCAACGTGACTTCTTTTCGCGTAAAAGTTGTCACGGTTGAAATTGAAAAACTTAAACCTGGAAATTGGTCTAATATTTGCATGCAGTTAGACAACGTCTATATTTTTGTAAATTTTGATGTAAGTAGTTATCCTGTTTCGGCAGAGATTAGTTTTATCTACGATTGTCAACAGACTAGATGGACCAGAGGCATCTCTTAAGTGGTGTCTTTTAGAGTATGTTGTGAGAATTTAACTGCACTAGTCTATCGATTACTGTATATATTTGACTCCACTAAATTGATATACATGAAAAATATCAATGCGAATCGATTAAAGTTGGATTTGTAAACCATTATATCTAACTAAGTAACTTGGGTGATATTTTCCTAGCACCGAACATCTATGAGATGAAGAAAGTTTATGGCTCAGGTGAATGATTTTAGTGGAGTTTCGCTAAAAACTCTATCACGTGACATCTGTCTACTATCCTCTTGTTTTAAAGATGGTATTCTTACATGTACATTATTAGAGGTGAAATCCCAATGTTATTGTATCCTTGAATTGAAGTTATTTATAGCAGAATGAAATTGGCATGGCGTCCATGTTGACAAATCGTCTATGCATTGAGAATCATTATCTTTTTCAAGAAAATTATAATGGGACTGTTTTTTTTTCAATGAACACATACAATAGGCAGAATGATATAAACGTGAATTAAATGAAGTCAATAAAATAATTAAAATGTACATAAATCTTTTGTTATTGAACTATCATCCTCCTATTATCTTCTTCACATTGGTGATTTCCAGTCTCTTTGTTTTTTAAGAGGATTTTCACAAACTCCTATAATACATAATAATAAATAGCTACATTGAATGTTTTTATGACAATTAGTATTGTTTTAAAACGATGTTAGCCAATATTCTATCATGCGTTGAACTTTCAACAACGATAAATTGTATCACGGTAGAATAATCTTTCTACTTTTATAGTATAGTCGGATGAAAAGTAGTTCTTAAAAACTTCTATATTCTATGAGTTGCTGTTCATTACTGTGAATAGACATTCAGTTCTATAAGAAATAATAGAAGAAATAAGTTACTTATTCAACACGATATTTTAATGTTGGAAAAACTTCTGAATATTAATATGCATGTCAGCAAATGAAAAAGTTCATAATATTTCCTGTAGGTGCTGTGCGTTCACAAATAGTCGCTTCGCATGCTTCGTTGAAATTAAGAACTTACTATCTGGCTCGACTGTTCGTTGTATCATCGTATTCTTGTATGATTACAAAATGTCGCTTCAGGATTGAGTTGTATTGGCACCTGAACTAGTGATAAGGAGTGAAGTTATTGACCGCGTCACTTATCACTGCTGGTGTCTGACGAAATCTCAGCGCCGATACAGGAACCTTGGTCGGATTTCGCCAACCAGCATCACTGATGCAGTAAGCAAGATATCCGTCTGCTAACTGCGCACCAGTTAGCTCCGTCCTAATTTATGGCTGTGAAACATCGCCAATAAGAGTATAGGATATTCGTAGGCTGTTAGTATTCGGACAACGGAATAAGTAATGCTGCCATTAGGAAACGAGTACTGTGTAAGGATAACAGATCAATAGGTGAAGTATTGGGATATGTTACGTATCCCCAACCACTGACTGCCTCGAAAAGCTATGTTTTATGGTGTAGAGGTGGGCTGGAAGAAAGCTAGGGGCGGTCAAACCAAAATTCCAGCACAAATGTATGAAGTTACTTACAAGTTGACTGAGAGTCATGTTGGTAAGTGTAGACTACCTGGTTAGGATCCGCGAGACAATAATAATCGATGGTTAGCGATCTTGAGTAACATGGCTCAAAATCGTTTGCAGTGGCACAGGTGTATCCACTATTTCTGTTCTCTAAAATTCTAATCTGAATTCCTCATCACTTCTATCTTCCTCTCTTTTTAAGTTGATTTCACTACATAATAATTCTTGAATTTGATATACGTACTTACAAAGTTCTACGTCGTAAATAACTGATTGTATCACCGATAAAAAAAGGAATACATGTATACAGCACACATGTAAGCTAAACCATAGGCTAGATCACGAAGTGTATCCTTTTAAAGAGGTTAGTGACTTCCGAACTGGAACAAACTGTATTCAGAAGCGTAATATGAGAATAAATGTATGTATTTATAATCAACCATAAAATTCGGTCGATAATAGGCGTTTCATTTTGTTTCAGTTTATATAAATTAAGCCAAAATGACGTAGAATTTTACAACAAAATCAATCAATAAAAGAATTTTCCCTGACTAAAAGCAAACTTTATCTATTGACTTATTTCTTGTGCTTTCTTCTGTGTAAGAAGATAAACATCTGATAAACATTTAGTGTATACTTCTATGTGGGTAGGAAAGAAAAGATAATATTGATCTGTTGTTTATCATGTAGTATGTACACCTTTTACCTAATCAAGAAATATAAGTTCACTACTAATCAGTTACAAAGAAAACAAACACACTATGATTCCATTTTAAGGATAATCTTAAATATTTCCTATTGTACATACAAAAAAAAATTATTTAAAATAATCACTTCTCCAGAAGAACATATGCATTGTACATAATGTCTGTTTTTTTTGCAAAACCGTAAAAAAAATCAAATGATGAAAATATATAGTTTACAACCTTATACACAAAAATTTGTAATGTTTTGAAGGAAAATCATTCGATTGTAAGCCAATTGTTTAAAACATCAAAAAAAAATTAGGCATTGAAAAGGTTTGAAATGTACAATTAATCATGAAAAGTTTAACTTTCCTGAAATTATCATACTACTTGAAAGGCATTGTTACAATTTGATAAAGATGAAAGTAATTATAAACAAGATTAATTTTTTTTTGTTATCGTGTGGAATGAAATGAACTCAGTCATTTTTTTGCAAATGCTATTTGCTGTGCAGTATGTATAAATCCACTCTAAGTTCGTTTGGCTTAGAATTCGATGGATAAAATAAGACTTGAAGTCTCAAGAAAAAAGCTCCAATTAAAGTACAATCAGAAAAATCTACCTTTCCAAAATCTATCCGAAAAAATTTTCTTCATCAGATACTTAAATAAATCCCGACCGTAGCTGCTACTTGGACGTGGTGGTCGGGCTTGACTATCGTGATGACCCAACCGAGCTATACTGGCTGGAACATATGTTCCTGAAGGTTCTACTATGCCAGGCAGGTCGATTGCAGAACGATGAGACTAAAAGCAGCTACTCAAAGTCTGAGGGCGAAGTCGCACTACTGACTGCAGTTCAGAAAAGGTGAAAGATGAGTTTTACAGAAAGCTTTCGAACCTCCTCCAAAAAGTTAGGCACTCTGATGTAGTAATAATGGCTGGTGACTTTAATGCTCAAGTAGGTAGACTGAGTG